GCTGAACCATAGTGGCCAAGCTGGAATTTAACTTTTATTAGATTAACTTACCTTGTGAAGTAATGCTGGTGTCTTTCTTTTTTTTTTTTTTTCAGGCTGACACCAACAAAGATCGTATTGAAGGTGCCAATGCCAGAGCAAAGAAACTCATTGACAGCTAAAGTACTGCTGTACTTCTTTACCATTTATTCACTTATCTAGCTCTTCCTTCAGAGTCATTGCCTTTTCAGAGTTTGAAATTTTGGTTCCACACTCTTCTAATCAGGAGATAATGTGGAAGAGGGGCAAGGAGTCACAGGCCCCCCCCCCCCCCCCCGTTTTTTATTTTCTTTTTTCCTTGAGGGTAGACTGCTGCTCAGCCTTCCTTCTAATATTTTCTTTCTCAGTTTATACTCTTAGCTTGGTTTTTATACATCATATATAGCATTGTTTTTCACCCTCCTCATTTACTGGAGTAGGTTTTTGTGCTTTCATGATTTGGAAGCATTGCCAAAGACAGCCAAGAAATAGGAAGCTGGGGACAGGGGTGGGGGAGTGCAAGGAGGAGAAGCAAGAGCTAAGAGGTTGTTACCTCAGTAAAACCTTCAGGCCACAAAGCAGTAAGTTGCATAGCCGCAGTTAAGATCTAGTTGGGTTTAGATTTTAAGTTGCAGTTATTGCCAATTTAGGCTATTACTTGGTTTTGGAGCTTTTATATACAATATTTTTGTTATACATCACAACTTTGCAACCTCTGCTTCAAAAAAGAATGGGATGAGTTTTCTTAAAGTGAGTTTAATTCCTGAACTCTTGATGATTCATATATGTACATAGAGTCTGTGATCACATTTCATATTGCACCATACAGGAACAAATGAATTGCTTTTTATTTTCATATTATTAGTATCATGGTTCTAATTCAAGCCTATTAACCTCATAAATTTGTCATTAGTCTTTGAAGAAAAATATTTAAATGTGTATTGTAACATGAGAATTTCTGTCTAAAGCAGGGCTTAAAATTTTGGGGGAATGTTTGACAAAATATTTCACATGATTTCAGATTTACCTCAATGCCAAGAATTATGTTTAGATAGGAAAATATAAACTTGTTTTGATCTCAGGTAGAAAAATCATTAGATTACTTTGAGTTTTATGTAGATTTAGACTTTTGAAAAACTAGAATTCTGTTTAACTAAAATTGATTTGGAAAATTATGCCTTTGTTTTTATTATTGATGATTGCACTATCATTCTTTTAGCCTTGTGTATTGAACTATGTTCAGAATCACACTTGTTTAGATCCTGAACAGTGTTATAAGAATCTGATTGGTATTTGTCACCTTTATTTAAAAGCTGGCACCTGTACACATCAAAACTATTAATGTGGTTTGGTTTGACCGATAACCACTGCTTGATCCTTACAATTAAATTTTGTAACTAATGGAATTGTTCTTTCAAAATAGGTGTGTTTCTGACTTTTTTGGAGGGGGGGGGGCAACCATTTCATCAGCTCTTATGTAACAAATTGAGTAAAGGAAAGGTCCATAAATCAAGAAGCACTCCCAAGAGAAAGCATCTTTACCATTTTTACTGGAAGTACTGGTAGGACTTTCCATTCTATGATTTGTCATGAGGTACATTTTAATCATTACTAGTCTTTTACTCATTTGAGCTTCAATACACTAATGACTGAAAGGATGTGCCGCACCAGCACGGCCAAGGGTGAACCTGAGTGGGGGCGGCTGAAAGGCTTAGAAAAGACAGACAAGAGAATGAAAGCCGGGTCTTGGTGGGAGGCTGCTTCTCTGAGAGACAGTGACTGCGCCCACAAGCCATGTCTTTATTTTATAGCAGATTCCACCAGGCAAAGTAAAGGCGTGGTCAAGATGTTTACAACATTCTCGTGGGTTTCAATCCTACTCAACTACATGCACCTGAACTCTGATCAAGCCTACATCACTCAGGCACGTGGGGCCACGTGTTTGGACCATAGGTTCAAGCTTACAACTATAGCTGTTGGCTATAATTGTGCTGGGAGGGCCCTGCCCTCCAAGCTGGGACTTGCACGTGGCAATGAGAGGACTGTGCCCTCTCATCAGTCCAAGGCTTGAACCTGTCCAAAACACTGTAGCTGCTCCCCACAACAGGATCGTTTTTAGGAGAGAGAACTACAACCTACTTGAGAAGATACAGTTGCCCTAGCGGTTTGGCTCAGTGGACAGAGCGCTGGCCTGTGGACTGAAGGGTCCCAGGTTCAATTCCAGTCAAGGGTATGTACCTCGGTTGCAGGCTCAATCCCTGGTCCTGGTGGGGCGTGTGCAGGAAACAACCAATTGATGTGTCTCATATGGATGTTTCTCTCTGTCTCTCCCCCTTCCTTCCTCTCTCGAGAAATCAATGGGAAAATATCCTCAGGTGAGGATTAAAAGAGAGAGAGAAGATACACTTAACATGGGAATGAAGAGGAAAATAATTTAAAGTGAGATTCATTTAGACCCTATGCAATAGAAATGCTCCATGATGAAGAGAGTAGTTTGGCAGGTGATGGTACATGTGTAAAGTAAGAAGGTATAAAACACTGGGGATTGTGCTATACCTAAATGCCCTTCCTAAAAGCATTTACTTAATTTTTTTAACAATAAGCTCTCCATATTTTCAGTCTTATCCCATATGGTCGTGCTTTTTTTTCTTCAGTTTTAATTCATCCTTTATTACCACTTCAACCCTAGATATTTTCATGTCATGTGTGGATTGTGAATATTCCCTTAACTTAAATTTCTACTTCCCAGACATCCTATACCGAATTGTACTTAGAATTAGTTTCTATTTGTTTCTTTTGATGCTATTTTCTTTTTTTGTTAATCCTCACCTGAGGATATTTTTTCCATTGATTTTTAGAGAGAGTGGAAGGGAGGAAAGGAGGTGGGAGGGAGAAACATTAATGTGAAGCGAGATACATCAATTGGTTGCCTCCTGCAACCCAGATACGTGCCCTTGACCAGGAATCAAACCAGTGACCCTTCATTGCTGGGGCCAACGCTCCAAATACTGAGCAATGCTGACCAGAGCTGCTTTTTAAAAAAGTATTATTGATTTTTAGAGAGAGAGGAAGAGGGAGAGAGAATGAACATCAATATAAGAGCAAAACATCCATCGGCTGCCTCATGCAAAACCTCTACTGGAGATTGAGCCTGAAGCCCCAGCATGTGCCCCGACTGGGGATCAAATCGGCACCTTTTAGTGCACGGGACAGTGCCTAAACAACTGAGCCACACCGGCCAGGCAAATGCTATTTTCTTCAGGTCACTCTCTTACTAGAATATTAAGTTACCTTCGTCAGATTTATATTTCTCAGATTGATATCCAAGTTCCTTATTCTCCTTTTTAACTTTGTATCTGATCAAAGCTTTCCATTTCTGTGCAACTTGCTAAATTCTATTTTAATATCTTACAGATGAAATAAATGGTGCCATTATTAAATGCTTACTCTGTCATGGGCACTGTGCTGCCTTCTTTTTTAAAATATATTTTATTGATTTTTAACAGAGAGGAAGGAAGAGGAATAGAGAGTTAGAAATATCGATGAGAGAGAAACACCAATCAGCTGCCTCCTGCACACCTCCTACTGGAGATATGCGTGCAACCAAGGTACATGCCCTTGACTGGAATCGAACCTGGGACCTTTCAGTCCACAGGCTGACGCTCTATCCACTGAGCCAAACTGGTCAGGGCTGTGCTGCCTTCTTATGTATCTTTTCACCATATCCTCCCAACATACCTGAAAGGTAGGAGGCCCATATTACAGATGAGAATAAATTGCTCTAATTCATAAAGCTACTAAATGACAGACTTTGGATTCAAACCAGGGTCTTTCTCATTCCGAGGCCTATAATCTTTTTTTTTTTACTTTGGGAGGGGGGATAGGTTTTATTTATTGAGCACCTACTCTGTGCTGGACAAAGTCTCTGCAAAGAGATTCTCAAGAATTGCAAGGCCTTTCATCTTATTCAGTATTCTACACTGACTTCACCCAAGCTCTAAAAGAATGTACATGACTTAGGGCTGGTGGGCAATAGGATGTGGGTCTCCAGACCACAAGTCAACCTACTTTGTTGGTTCATTTTTAAGTCTAAATGCTTGTGTACTGTAACTTTGGATATATTACTTTACATAGTACCTGCCATCAAGTAGTTCAGTCTAGCAAGAGAGAAAGATGGATACAGAATGTGAGAAGTGCTATTGTAACAGATGGAGGAGCAGTTAATTCGACTTAGACTTAGAAAGGGGCTTAGACAGGGAAAGAGCATGTTAATAAGAGAGGGCATTTCTGACTGACCAACCAATGTATAAAGGCAGTTAAAAGAACAGCAACATTGCACTATGGATTTAAAGAGCAGAATAATCTGGTATGACTAGGCAGGCAAATGAGAGTGAAAAAGGATATCTGGAAATAAGGTTGGGTCCAAGTTGTGAAAGGTAGTAGTCATTGTCATAGGGTTGGGGATTTTTAAAAAATATTTTTTTTTCTTGGTTTCAGAGAGGGAGAGGGAGAGAGAGATGGAAACATAAATAATGGGAGAGAATCATTGATCGGCTGCTTCCTACATACCCCACACTGGGGATTGAGCCCGCAACCTGGGCATGTGCCCTGCCCAGGAACCAAACCATGACCTCCTGGTTCAGTGATGGCGAACCTTTTGAGCTCGGCGTGCCAGCATTTTGAAAAACCCTAACTTAACTCTGGTGCCGTGTCACATATAGAAATTTTTTGATATTTGCAACCATAGTAAAACAAAGACTTATATTTTTGATATTTATTTTATATATTTAAATGCCATTTAACAAAGAAAAATCAACGAAAAAAATGAGTTCGCGTGTCACCTCTGACACACGTGTCATAGGTTCGCCATCACTGTACCTGGTTCATAGGTTGACACTCAACCACTGAGCCATACCGACTGGATGAGTTGGAGATTTTTTTTAAAACTCCAACTAGTAATTAAATGGCTGGGGACATTTAAGTTTAATTTATAAGTTCTGATTTATTAGATGATAAGTACTGATAAAATAGAGAAATGTTAATTGTCCATTTAACTGATCAATAAGATTAAAGTGTTTTTTTTTTAATAAAACTCAAGAATGATAAACTATTCCTCCCCAAATTGAGAAACAGAAAATAACATGGGAAAAAGAATACCAGACCAGACTGAAGGTCAGAGAGAGTTCCTCATACAGATTAAATACTACGCTCCTATGATCTTTTGACATAAAGGTCAACCTAGGTTTGTAAAACAAGAACTGTAAATATATTGTAAATAATAGCCCCTTGGACAAGACAAAACTTCAAAAAATGACAGAGTGGTAACTTTATAAATGTTCATATCAATAACAATTTGAAAACATTTACCTTTGTACCTTCAGTTTCTCTTAATAAACATGGTTCCACTACCACAAGATGTTTATCAGTCACATGAAGGCATTGCAGTACTTATGCAACCTCAACATGAAACATTTCTTCCTAATCAGTTTATTTTCAAACAAAAGGCCATTTACAGGTTAGTTTTCCTGTCTTCTTTTAAAGGATGAACCTTTCTTCCAACCAAAAAGTTAATTAAAAATTCTTTATTTAATATATTCTCTCATTCAGAGAATAAACTTGATAAACATAGGTTGTTTTAAAATACTATAGTTGCTTTTTGACAGGTAATTTGATTAGTAGAGTTATAAAATACAAAAAGGAGAAAAGGATTACCAGAAATAAGACATTATTTCTACCAAAGCTTCAGGAAAATCTTGATTATTAAAACCCTTGTATCTTACAAGTTTTGCATATATGGTTCTAGCTCTTCAGAGCCTTCTACCAATAAGGCACCTGCAATAGTAAAGAAGTTGCTACTGCAGCCTTGGGAACATGTCTTAGTGTTGTAGTGAAGCTTCTCTGACAAGGTACACTTTTAATCAAGACAGTCACATGTTTATGTACATCCTAAATTCCAAGTATAAATACTATAATTGAACTGATGGACGGGAACAACACACAGATCCTTAGATTAACCATAGCAGCCTCTCAACAAGTTATTTCAATATCATAAAAATGTGAAATGTTAACACAGAAGTGGGATGGCAGCTGATTTTATGAAAGCTCACTCATTGAAACTACACATGAAATTTCAAGCTGTGGCGTGGAGCTATTCTATTACCAGGCAGCATCCCCTCACTGTATAAATAGCAACTAGTTATTGGTTTCTTAAAACCAAACTAATGATGATTTGAAGATCAACATTGTCCATTGCCCTATTCATGACTCAAAACGGAGAATTCTTCCTGTCTGTTGATTCCTTTTAGCTTATTTAAGATAAGCTCTGGAAAGGAAAGAGATCAAATGCAATATAATCTCCTAGAGTATCAGCTCCTTACTGCAGACATCCTTGACAGCAACAGGAGCCTTTGCTTTGGCCAGATTGCAGCAGGTTCCAAATTAACGTCCTGTGAGGATTCCCATGCTTGTGGAGAACATCATGCAAACTTCTTCTTGGTGGCTGTGAACTTCTCCATGTACTTCTCATAGCCTTCTAGTTCTCGAAGTTTCTTTATCTCTCTCCATGTACTAAAAGTCATGAAAGAAAAAAAATATATATGTGCTGTTTTGGCATGAGCAAATACTTACCTTTTTCATATGATTTTTTTTCCATTTAGGTTTTTATTGGATATGGCCCCTTATTTCCTACAAAATCTACCTATTCTAAATGCAAATCTAAAGCACATTAGTTTTGGGGTCTTTTAAGCTTTTCTTTGATATTTTAATAGAAAACCTATCAAAAGACAAAGATGCTTTACAATACACCGTCTAGAGAAAAAGTCATCTTGGTACAATACGAGTGTATATACCAGTACATCTTTGTACAAGAATTTGGCTGACTCTTAGAACTCACCTCCAAAATGGGAAACAGATCCTGTTGACAAATAGGATTATCCATGCAGCCTGTGGCTATAAACATTCATGTGGGTCACTTCACCATTCTCTTCTCTGGAGCAGTGACTAGAAATGCAGACGTATATGAATACATACCTTCTCATAGCCTTCTAGTTCTCGAAGTTTCTTTATCTCAAAAAGGTTGCCTTCCACAGCAAGCAGACAGATCTGGGAATCACTGAGGATGCTCTGTGGAAGCATGCTGAGCTCAAGGCAGTTCTCTTCCAGGCGAAGAACTTTAAGGCGAGGACAGCAAGATATCTTTACTGAGATCTGAGATATCTATTTAACAACAAAAAATAACAGGAAAAAGTATAAGCACTGTAATGGTTATTTTTTACTAAATTAAAACAAAAAACCTTTACCTGACAATTTGTCCTAGTTCTCTTTTTACCGCCTCCATTTTCTTACTACCTACTCATTCCAGAAGCCTCTGTCATGTAGCATCTGTTACTACTCCTCCACTTTTTTGGGGGGTGGGGAAGGAGCACTTGCTTTGGAACCAGTGGCTTTTTGGAAATACAATTTTCTGATAATAAAAGCACTATTTATTATAGAAAACTTGAGAGTCACATTTTTAAATTTAAAGAAAAGAACTGCAATCTACCAGCAATAAACATTTTGGTACATTCACTGCCAATCTTTTATGCGTATATAAATGCTTGATTGTACTATCCCTTCCTTGAAACTCCCTACTGTATCTAAGTACTGAGTTTTTCTAACTTTTGAATAATTCATTTTTAGCTTTCTTTCTTGTTCCTATGGACATTTTTCAAGCAGTAGCCTCTAATACTTAATATTTGATCATCTGTCTAAACCAGTGGTCCTCAACCTTCCTAATGCCGCAACCCTTTAATACAGTTCCTCATGTTGTGGTGACCCCCAACCATAAAATTATTTTTGTTGCTACTTCATAACTGTAATTTTGCCACTGTTATGAATCATAATGTAAATATCTGATATGCAGGAGTATTTTCATTGTTACAAATTGAACATAATTAAAGCATAGTGATTAATCACAAAAACAATATGTAATTATATATCCGATGGTCTTAGGCGACCCCTGTGAAAGGGTCGTTCGACCCCCAAAGGGGTCGCGACCCACAGGTTGAGAACCGCTGATTTAATGTTTCAACACTGTGTCTTATGTCTAAACCAAAGATTGTTTCTCCAGTTATACATAATAACCAAAGAGCTTCCAAAGTAATGGAAACAAATTTCAAATATTACAATCAAAGCTGTCCAACAAGGAAATGAGCTATCTCCAGAATGCCTATTGCTGATGTTTCTTAGCAAAAGCAGAACACACATTGACAAAGATGTCCAAAAAAGGACAACAGATTACCTCTGATGTCTAACTCTGAGAACCTATGAGTATAAGCCTCTTTTCCACTCTATCTTTCTGACAGCTCCATATATATATTATTGATTTCAGAGAGGAAGGGAGAGGGAGATAGAAATATCAATGATGAGAGAGAATCACTGATTGGCTGCCTCCTGCACTTAAGCCCGCAACCCGGGCATATGCCCTGACCGGGAATTGAACAGTGACCTCCTGGTTCATAGGTCGACACTCAACCACTGAGCCACGCTGGCTGGGCCTGACAGCTCCTTGTTAGATGACTGGAGACATGTTTGAAAAGGATCTGAAGAACTCTTCAAGATTTGTGAGACAGTAGTTTAACTTTTGAAGTTATCACCCCGTTACCCATCCCAACCTCTCTATAAAATACCTACACAACCAACACAACCAACCAGTGTCTCAACTCTCTCCACGGGACTTTGGGCCTTGAAATTAGTCCAGCCCACAGAATATACTTCTCATCCAGCTTCTGATGCCCAGCTCCATGATTACAGTTTAGAGAAAAACAGATTATTCAGAATATATATTAGAAAGGAACCCTTAAGCTCTCGACCTGGTTCTGGTTGAGGTTGAGTTCGATGACCTGCAGCTCCCCCACTATGTCAGGTATGCTCCGAATCTGGTTCTTGGAGAGATCCACCACATCCAGGTGCTGCAGGTTACAAAGTTGGGGTGGTAGTGCTCGCAGTTGGTTCCCAGAGAGGCTCAGGGTCTTGAGGGCAGACAGTTGCCCAAAGGTAGACGGCAACTCTCTCAAGTGATTGTTGTTCAGGCTTAGCGTCTCCAGTTTTTTCAGATTGCATAACTCACCAGGAAGAACAGCTGGAAAAGATAAAAAACGCAGAAACCTGAATCTGATACAGCTGAAAACACCTCTGATGAAGTTTATAAAAGCTACATGGCAGCCTGCTATGCCTCTTGTTAATATACACAGAATTCCCACGTGTGCCATTTATAAGTATTGCATTTTTACCAACATAGTCCTCAGAAGGGGAGAGTGCCATCAAAATGCAAGAAAGCATGTATGTGTATAGTTTGTGCAGGAGCCTCCGCACAACCTGACAGCAATTTCGTGTCATTTGGAAAGTCCCTCCCCTCCCATTGCCCCGTCCAAATCTCCCCAGTCCCAATCGTTTTACCACCAGAGGCGGCTTGTAGATGTAATTACAAGAGAGAGAAAACTTCAGGGACTCTGACATTCTCCTGCGTCTTGAGCAGCCGGAACGGTTTCATAACAAAACATTGTGTTGTAAGAGAACACCACCCTCCTTCACAGCCGACCAGTAGTAGCAAAAGCTACCCAGACGCAAAAGCCATACTCAGTTTGTTGTTGTTCAAGGAGAGGCTCTTGAGCAGCGTGAACTTCCCGATAATCACAGGCGGCAGGCTCTCGATCTTGTTGTTGGATAAGTCGATGGTCCTGAGATTGCTCGTCAGCTTCTGTAACTCTGAAGGGAACTGGAGAAAGGGGCTCACAGCGCGGAGAACCCCTCGCCGGTTAACTTCACCGCCCCCGCCACCCGTCTCCCGTGTCACCCCCAGTCCGGTCCCTCCCAGCCTCACTCACCTCGGTCAGCCCACGGTCCTTCAGCTGAAAGACCCCGGTTTTCTGCGCGGTTTCCACGTGAGCGCGGAGGGCACTGTTTCCCATCCTGGCGCCGCGGCTCGGGCCCCTGCGGGAAGGAAGTGCAGCTGTCACCGCGCGGTCCAGGGCATTGAGCCTCTGCCCTCTGGTGTTCAGTGTGTGTCATCTTTGGTGGTCAATGTGTGTCATAGTGACCTGTCGTTCTGCAGTTTGGTTGATTTGCATATTAGCCTTTTATTATATAGGATATTGGAATACAGGACGTGTGGGGTTTTTTGCAAATAAAATATAGAGAAATGATTCTATGTGGTGGATAAAGTTGAACATAAGACATTTTGTTGCTAAGAAGGTATCAAAATTGTGGAATTAACAAATTTAGTGTGGTAGTAAACATATTTCAACCATATGATTCACTGGTACAGATTAAAGAAAATTCACTGGGAATAGAAGGGGATAGATTCCCGGCGCCGCTCGGGGAGGTGCGTCTCCGGCATGGCTGCGGCCGACCCTGGGGACCCGGCGCCGGCGCCAAACCCTGCCGGGCTACTGCTGGGCCATATCGTGGCCTCGGGGGCAGTCGCTCAGGTAGGTGGGCGGCGATGGCGTCATTAAGGGGGGGCCCCGGTGGCGACAGAGGGAGGCTGTGAAGCGGTTCTGGCTGAGGCTGAGCCAGAGGAGACGCGGGCGGAGCCGGTTCCTGGCCACGGCGGGTACCGTTCTGCGAAAGCGGGGTTCTGAGTACGTGACGGCTCCGCGAGACGGGGTTTCGGGTGTCAGCAGGCGAGTTATCCCAGGTCTGTTCGTGGGAGATAATAAAGACCGGTTTTCCCGCCTTTTTCCCCCTCCTCCTTCTTCTGAAAGAGTAATCCCTCCTTTGGAAAACTGCTGTTTGAACTACTCTGTTATTCTTAGACAGTCTCTTATTCTGTAGGTCAACTCTGTTGTTTTTAGACTGTAAAATAACTTTGTTTTTTGATTGAATAGAAAAGATAAACTTAACTGTCTGACCTTGCAAGCTAGCCATCTAAAGGGGCTGATACACTGATACTGATATTAATTCACATATTCTGCCAAGTGTTTGTTCATCCAAGGTTACAGGTGTCTGTATAGATATGATATGGTACTCAAAGTTACAAGTTGTCTATAGATATGACAGGTGTTTGATTAGATATAATATGTACTCAAAGTTTCAAGTTGTCTATAAATATGACAGGTGTTTGTTAGGTACGATACGTATTCAAGGTTACAAGCTGTCTTACACAAAGAACCAGAAGGTTATAAAAAAAATACTCCCTCCTGTGTTTGTTCAGAATCTGACAGAGGTAATCTGCTCTGAACCTGCGAGCAGTAAAGATGAATCCTAACTAATTGGCTGATTAAGGCGTCTTGTCCATCTGATACAACACTTCAATCTAGTGCAGTGGTCGGCAAACTCATTAGTCAACAGAGCCAAATATCAACAGTACAACGATTGAAATTTTCTTTTGAGAGCCAAATTTTTTAAACTTAAACTATATAGGTAGGTACATTATTATTAACTTAATTAGGGTACTCCTAAGCTGGCCTTTGCTAAAAACATCTTCAATCTGATTGAGGTACGTTCTCTGAGGTCGACTCCTTCCAACTCTCCCATCCACACTCGTCTTGTATACTGGTTTCGTCTATCTCAGTGGTCGGCAAACTCATTAGTCAACAGAGCCAAATATCAACAGTACAACGATTGAAATTTTCTTTTGAGAGCCAAATTTTTTAAACTTAAACTATATAGGTAGGTACATT